CCCACTGTGAGTAATGTTCTAAATGGCAACATCATTCTTTACTTCAAGATATTAGCAGTCTTTTAGAAAATCCTGAAGCCAAAGTGATTTACTTATTTATTTTTAAATCTTTATTGTTGAAAGTATTACATATCTCACTTTTTCCCCCATTGACCCCTTCAGGCCCACGCCCACCCCGCCCCAGGCAGGACATGTCTAAATTTTTCACAAGAAACTGGTTGTTCCTTCTCTGATGAAGGGTGTGTGTGTGTGTGTGTGTGTGTGTGTGTGTGTGTGTGTAATGGTATATATTGAGAAATGATCACCACAATAAGCTAGTTGAGATCCAGTTTTATGGATTCTGGGAGAAACATATTCTGAGTCCCAGATGTTGACTTAAAAAAAATTAAAAGGGAGGGGTTGAATTAAAAATGAACCTTACTTGTATAAAGAAATACTATGTACAAAGAAATTAGAATTTCCTTCTCAGTGGTGAGCATATACTCACTCTGCCATAATGGGACATCTATTGAGGATTTGCTGAACATTAGTGATGCTTCAGTGATACAAATTGCAAAAGTACATGACATAGATTTCAGAAAACATACTTTCTAACAAATGCAATAAAACCAACAAAAATGAATGTATGTAGAAACAATAACTTGACTAAAAATACATGTATGGGTCTCATTTTTGAATATTTATCTGACCTCTTGAAACTACAAGGGAAAGAAAATCATATTTTCCAAAGGCCTGGTTTCAAATCATTTGTGACCCACCACCATCACCTCAAGAAACTATTTACAAATTACTTTTCTTAAGTGAGAATACCACCTAGGCCTAATCAACTGGCCTTCTTGGCAAATATGATACAATCTAACTTAAATGGCTGATGATGTGTTCAGCCCTTCCTGTGTGGCTACCATCAGGGGAGGAGGTAAGGAGACCACAGTGCAACTTTGAGCAACAGTCCTCCTGGCAGGGTGGTCACGCCAAGTTGTGACACTAAAACCGTGGTCAGAAGTGTTTGTGGATAGTTGACAAGAAATAAAAGCATAATATGTACGGTTTTGAAAAATTAAACTGTTGTAGCTCGACTTTTCTGTAAATGTATTTAATTTAATAAGGACATGCCCAAAAGGCAAATTCTAAAATTCACATGAGTAATAAATAAATAAAATGAACTGGAAGAAATAGAGCTGAGTCTGGATATGCATGGGTATACTGAATCAGAAGTGACAAGTTGAGCAATATAACAGCCAATAGTCTGTAAACATACTTTAACAAATATGAATTTAGAATCTATTTATTACAACCTAACATATTAATTCAGAACATTCAGCTAGGTATAATGCACTGGTGGGGCATGTACAGTGTCAACTAGAACATTGTAACAGGATGAACACATGACAGAGATCCCACAAATCTTAAATGTATACTTTGATGGAACAGGAAGTAGAACAGGTCAGCATCTTGCCAACTAATATTGTTTGGCATAATTTCCTGAGCTAGTAGTGGAGAAATTTCTCGTCCCCATCTCAGTTGAAACTTTCTATAATTCTAAAAATAAGCAATTCTATTGAGATGTAATTTCTTTCACAAAGAAATGTTTTCATTACATTAACTTAGCCCATGCTAGACAACTTAATTTTTGTTTTTTGTTTTTTAATATCAATCTATATCATATAACGGAATAAAAGAAAAAAATTTCCCTATGGTATTATCTTAGAATTTATAAATAAACAGTCATATAAATAATAAATCTTTTCAAAATTGTTCTGAAGTAAATCACATTCATGACATACAAATCAGATGACTTCAGATTTTTATTAGCATCATGGTGTTTTTTTATTACTTATTTTCTTGCATTATTTTCATTTATAATTTGGTTGTTTTGGAATTTGACTGAAAAATGTATCCTTAACTAAAGATCTTGAGGCATTTTACTATATTTTCTATTAAACTTGTGAGGACTTTTTTCATAATTAGATCTTTGCTAGTCAATATTTTCCACAGAGTAATGACTTTTCCCATCACCTTTATTGAATGACCATTCTTTTCTCAGGATTTGAAATGCTATCTCTGTTGCCACATATTTATTATTCAATATATCTGTAGGCATTTTTTTTCATAAAAATTCTATTCAGTTCCTTGAATAAGTATATTATCACTTAGGGAAAATTATTTGTGTTGCCTTTTCTGTTCTTCTGTGTCATTAAATTACAGGTTTAAAGACCCCATATTTTTACCACACATTTTTATACTTCTCAGAATACAGTAGGTAATGAGTAATGCTTTGTTCACAGGGCTATTATAAGCCGCACTTAAAGAATAAGATAAAAAATGACAAGAGTTCTTTCTCCTCATGGCTGAATAGTAATCCATTGCATACATTTAAATATACCACATCTTCTTTGTCCGTTCATTTGTTGGTAGACCCTTATGCTGTCTTTAAATGTTAGCTATTGTGAATAATACTGTAATGAACATGGGAGTACAGATACCCTAACTTCATTTAATTTGGATATATATTCAAAAGTGGGATTGTTGTATGAAGTGATAGCTCTATTTTTAAGTTTTTGAGGAATCTCCATACTGGTTTCCATAATGGCAGTTCTAGTGTACATTCCCACCAACAGTGCTCAAGGGCTCCCCTTTTCCCCACATCCTCACAAGCATTTGTAATCTCTTGTATTTTTGTGATTTGATATCTTATTAAGGTTTTGATTTGTATTTCCCTGATGATTAGTGATGGTGAGCACCTTTGCATGAACCTTTTATCCATTTGTATATCTTTGGTAAAATGTCTATTTGGGACCTTTCCCCGTTTTTAATAGGATTATTTTTTCATGCTATTGCGTTGTATGAGTTCCTGGTATGTTTTGGATATTAACTCCTTACCATGTATGTGATCTGCAAATATTTTCTCTAATTTTGTAGATAACTACCTTTGTTGAGCAGAACCTTTACTTTTTACATCTAATTTTTAATTTTTTTTCTTATTTTATTTTATTTTTTTATTATTATTAGTTAAGGTATTACAAATGTGTCCTCATCCCCCCCATTAACCCCCAACCTCCCCCCCCCACACACACTCATGCTCCCATCCCCCTGTTGTCCATGTCCATTGGTTTGGCTTATATACATGTATACAAGTAATTTTTAAAGTTTTTATTGAATTTATAAAGATGGCATTGATTAATAAAAGTATATAGGTTTCAAGTGTACAATTCTATAATACATCATCTGTATATTTTATTACAACAACATGGGTGGATCTTGAAAATATCATGTTAAGTGAAATAAATCATACAGAAAAATTCAATAACCATATGATTTCACCCATATGTGGAATATAAAACTGAAAGCAGCAAATGAACAAACAAGACAAACAAAAAAACAAAAGCTCATAGACACAGACAACAGAACGGTGGTTACCAGAACGAAGGGAGTGCGGGGGGATAGTGAAGAGTAGAGAGGGTCAAGTGTATGGTGATGAAATATTTGATTTTGGGTGGTGGGCACACAATGAAATATACAGATGATGTATCATAGGACACACTTGAAACCTATGTAATTTTACTAATGAATGTTACTCCACTAAATTTAATAAAATTGAAAAAATCAGTGAAGTCAATGGATACAAGATCAACATGTAAACCTCAATTGTCTTTTTAAAAATATACTTTTATTTTTGATAGTATTACAGGTATCTCCCATTCTCCCTTTATCACCCTTCTCCTTGCCCCTACCCCCGCCCCAGGCCTTCAATACCCTATTGCTCATGTCCACGAGCTATGCATATAAATATATAACTTCTTTGGTTTATCTCTTCTAGTCTCCCCCAACCCCACATCAAGGTATGTCAGTCTGTTCCATGCCTCCATGCTTTGGGTCTTATTTTGCTGATCAATTCATTTTGTTCATTAGACTCCACAAATAAGTGAGATCATGTGATAATTCTTTTTCTCAGATTGGCTTATTTCCTTTTTTTTATATATTTTATTGATTTTTTACAGAGAGGAAGGGAGAGGGACAGAGAGTTAGAAACATCGATGAGAGAGAAACATCGATCAGCTGCCTCCTGCACACTCCCTACTGGGTATGTGCCCGCAACCAAGGTACATGCCCTTGACCAGAATCGAACCTGGGGCCCTTGAGTCTGCAGGCCGACGCTCTATCCACTGAGCCAAACGAGTTAGGGCAGATTGGCTTATTTCACTTGGCATAATATTTTCCAGGTCTATCCATGCTGTCCCAAAGCTCAAGTGTTTTTCTGTTTGAAGCAGCAAAAATTACTAAACATTAAAAAAAATAAAAATGTCATTTACAAAATTGTGACCATAAAATATCCATGTTTCTGTAGGACTTCAATATAGGAAAATTAAAAATATAGTAGATAAATTAAAGCAAACTTAATACATAGAAGGATAAAGCATGATATTAGTTAGAATAATCAATACTGTAAAATGACTAATCTTTATAAATTAATTTTTAAATGCTGTCCCAAATATAACCCCAAGTGTTTTTAACTGTTTTATTAAGGTGTAATTTACAGAGCATAAAATTCATCCATTCAGAGTGTACGTATATACCAGTGATTTTTAGCATATTCCCAGAGTTTGCAACTGTCACCATGATCAAAATTTAGAAAACGTTCAGCCCCCAAATAGTGTGCCAATTTTCAGTCATTTCTTATTCCCACCTCTCTTCAACACTTGGCAACCACCAATTCACTTTGTGCCGCTGTGGGTTTGCCTCACAATGTGATTGGTCAGAAAGGCTGAATGCCACAAACATAATGTTGAACAAAACAAAAGTCAGAAACTAAAATTAATGATATCTGTACATTTGAATGTGTATATTATTCTCTAATAATTGTTAAGGAATTTTTCAGTATTAGAACAAATAATATAATTCATTTTAAGAGTTATGCAAAAAAAGAGTTATGCAAATAATACTATTTCCATTTCAAGAAAAATAAAGTTACCCGACAGAATCCAAACTCAGGTATTTTACCTCTAAAGCTTATGTTTGCAACTATATATTTTTGAAGCTCCACAACTCCATGATGTGAGGCCAGATAGGTGTAGCAGAACACAGTCACCTTTATCAGATGATAGTTCTGCTATTCTGTAACTAAGAAAAATGCATAATTTTGTTGTTATCGTGTATGGAGACAATCCATGAAACAATAAATAGCATTTTTCATATAAGCGTAATAGGAAAACATTTTGAAAATAGGTAATGATACTCTTCACATAATATTAGTAAGAACTGGTTATTAGGAAAACTGGGTATTCATTCTTTAATATTTATATCAACATTTCATTAACTTTGAACTTCATTCTTCAAGTTTATAATTCAACTAAAACAAATGTATTCATAATACTCGTTTAAATGTCTCCTTTTTGTATTTCTTATGCAGTATTTAAAAAACAACTTACTTTAGTTTGAAAGCTGAACCATTTATCAACATCCATGGATGACCACTGCTGCTACAAAAAATTCCAATCCATGATGGTGGTAACATGAAACTCAGAAATTTCTACCACAAAATAAAGAATTTTTATTTAAATGATCATCATGAAAGTTTGTATTATTTTTTAAATGCAAGTAGTGTACTTTCATATGATCCTTAATTTTCAGAAAAAATAAGATGTTGGATTTTAATCAATATTAAGCATAAAATCATAAACCAAGAATTCACATTGGTAAAAGTTTTCAGCAATGTTTGTATATTTTCTACTTTTGATTTAAAATTAATTCTTGAGCTCTGACCAGTTTGGCTCAGTGGATAGAGCGTCGGCCTGTGGACCAAAGACTCCCGGGTTCGATTCCGGTCAAGGGCATGTACCTTGGTTGCAGGCATATCCCCAGTGGGGGGGTATGCAGGAGGCAGCTGACCAATGTTCCTCTCTCATCGATGTTTCTAACTCTCTATTCCTCTCCCTTCCTCACTGTAAAAAATCAATAAAATATATTTAAAAATAAAATAAAATTAATTCTTGAACATTGAGACTTAGTAGTGATGTTAGCAAGGAAAATCCTGATATATGCAATGTAGTAGTTACCAATGTTGACAAAATTAACAGAACAAGGCTTTAAATAAATTTTCAAATACTTATTTCAAGTATTTGATACTGTGACTAAATCCATGTAGATCTCTACTATGTTTCTAATAATTTAGGTTTCATAAAAAAAATTAAGGGATTGTCATTAAGAAAACAAATGACATGGAAGCCAAAAATTTGGTTTTCTGTGCCTCACATCATTCTTGAACCAGATAAGACCTGAACTGATCTATTCTATGTTGGTGGAATCCAGTAGTCTAAGTATCAGAGACTCATTTCTCTGCTATTCCCTGCTAAATGCAACTATAAATTCTAGAACTAGTGAAAAATGTAAGGGAAGGAGAGCTCTGACGGTGCAAAGAGAAAGGGAAAAAGGTTTGGTACCCCAAAATTAGAGAACAACAGACAGGGTAACATATCTTCACCTAACAGCAGTAACCTAGGCCTGCTGTTTCCCAATATCCATCATAGCATTATAGGAGGTAGCTCAAAGGAAGCCATTCCTCCCATGCATCAGAGAGAGAATTCAGCCCAGCAACACCAGCCTAGCCTGCAGGGCGATCCATTAGGACACCTGCTAACAAAAGCAATCAGAGTAAGTTTTCCTTCCCCCAAGAGAAACCAAGGTAGGAGGGCTGGAGGCGGGACCAGCAAAGGGGACCCTATAACTAAAATGAATGGGCCCAGCATGGCTTTTTATTGCTGAGGGCATGAAACTCACATCCCGAATGAGAGACATCAGATAGAATCGACTTTAAAATGTTCCATTCCCATAACTGGCAGTGAAAATTAATAAACTGCAGATACATACAGCAATATAAATAAATTCTGAAACATCAGATGGAGGTGAAAAATGAAGAAAGGCACACTGTATGATTCCATTTATATGAAAATCCATAACAAGCAACATCCCATCATATTAAAAACTAAGACAGTGGTTAAATAAAGAGGGGAAAGATGTGATGAAAGAATGCACAGTAGCAGGGCTGCAGAGGTTGGAAACTTTCATTTGGGATCTGATTTGTAATTACATGGTTCTATTCAGTTTGCAACCAATTTGCACAATTATGGTATCTTCAGTGTTGTAGACATATGGTAAAGTTAAATAGAAAAGTTTATTTTAGAGAACAAGCATTTATAGAAACATGGTTTTCTATGAAAAGCAACATTGGAACTTAACAAATGTGTATTAATGTTATCAACTACAAATAAAATGTAAATCAAAAATAGAATATTAACACTTAAAAATGATAACTAAAATATATACAAGGATATATGCCAACTTTGTTAATACAATATAGACTAAAGTAAGCTTTTAATAAAATGTTTGAAACACTTAAAATCTTACCATTTCTTCTTCATTATCTATATAAAGCAGGTTAGAGCACAGGCCAGCCCACCCTCAATCCATGTTTTATTTTCAGTACTAATGTAGTAGCAAATTTTGGAATATGTAAACCACTCCAGTGGACAATGACCACAATGATATGCTAAAGAAAAATTATAAATTTTTAACCAAATACAATTTGAATAAAAAAAATTAATCTACATATATGCACAGGTACATAAATATCTGTACATAATATCTATGCACATTCACAGGCTGATACATATAAAAAACACTCATACACCCACTCAGAGAGAAGGGTCACCTCTTATTGCCTAATTCATGTGCTCACATAAAGAAATAACACAAAGAAAAATATTAAATCTCTAATGTCTTGGAAGTCATTGGATGAAATAACTTTTTTTTTTTTTAGAATAGCAATGGGATTTTGTATCAACATAATAGTGCAGTAGGAATTTTGAGATAATTGGCAACAGTGGGTATGGCGATTTTAAGTAAATACTCCTTCATTTTATTGCATAAGAAGAAATACTTTTTTATAATTATTTGTAAATATTTATTGATCATTTTATAATTTATGTCCTCCCCCCTCAAAAAGTCTATTGTCATTTTTGCCTAGCTTAGGATAGAGACAAAATCTAAACTTTTCTAATATCAGAACTTTGAAAATTATTATGTACCTTTCAGGATGTTTGTATTGAGGGATGAATTGTTCTTCTCCAGTTTACCAGTACCTTAAAAAATTAAGGTAATTGTTTAAAAAGTAATTAATCTAAACAAATGATAATAATTTTTTTTAGCTTGAAGGTTTTTTTTTTTTAAATATTGTCTATGATGAGAATTATCTGTAACAAAATTGATTTTACTAAGAAAAATGAATAAAGTAATACAGATTTGGGGAAAATATTGTAACAAACTATGGGAACAAACTTCACCATCTCTTACAGTTTTGGCTTATCCAATATCAAGAATTAACTTGCATTTCTCAATAAGTTCTTTTGCAGTGGTTCTCAACCTTCCTAATGCCGCGACCCTTAAATACAGTCCCTCATGTTGTGGTGACCCCCAACTATAAAATTATTTTCGTTGCTACTTCATAACTGTAATTTTGCTACTGTTATGAATCGTAATGTAAATATCTGATATGCAGGATGTATTTAGGCGACCCCCGTGAAAGGGTTGTTCGACCCCCAAAGGGGTCACGACCCACAGGTTGAGAACCGCTGTATGAAATCAGAACATATAAATATGTATAAAATATTTTCTACAAATCATTCTATTTCTTATGCATTTGACAAATTCAGCATAGCACATTTATCTAAATGTATACATTAAAATGAGAATTCTATTCTGTAATACTGTATTATGAAGTGCTTAGAGGCACTCAGATTCTTTAAAATGAAGTTTCCTTAAAATCTTCCAAAAACTTACCAGGCATAAAAAGTATCACTCTTACTACACTGTACATCAAGATAAGGCAGATAACTCCCAGGACCCCAGCAAAGAGCTTCTCTGGAGGTGATGGTGAATCTGCAGGAAGAGAAAGGAGAGATGGAGACATTATTTAGACAGTTTACATATAAGAGAACCCACGTGCACAGCGAATCATAAAGTTGAATCCTGAAACCATATCTAGCAGTGGAATCTTCCTCTCAGATGTACCATTTCATTTTCTGAAAACACGATTCTCCATGAGTTGTTGGTCAAAGACGACACCTTACAACAGTGCCTCAAAGAAATCAGCCCTCAGATTTCATATTAGAATTCTGTGTTCCAACTTTAAGCTCTGACCCTTACAAATGAAAAAATATGTGAGCTAATTCCCTACTCTTTTGCACACCTCTATATGCCAGGTGCACATCCTAGAACAATTATACTGTGTGTCTATTAAATGTGCCACCTTTGCTTTAGTCATCCTTGTAATTCCATTGAAGGTCTTGAAAAGCACTTGAAAGTTTATTCCCACACAGAATATTTATTGTTCAGTTGGTACAATGGAGCTGTTCATGCCCTTACCTTTCACTTGCTGTCTCCTTAAGTCCTTAGCCAGATTCATTTCTGAGTCATTTTCTTGTTGGACATCCATCTCTGAGGCTGAGTAATGACAGGGATGGTGCCTATGATAACAGTACTTAAGTAATTAGTAAATGATGTGAGCAATGACAAGACCCCAAGGATAGTCTTTGTGGGTGGAGTTTGAGATAGTATCAGTACTCACTTTGCATTTGACCCATGTGAAGTCTTCTAATTTACGTAGAGATTTAAGTGTGTTTTATGATAGAATAATAGTTCTTAAAATTATATTCTATGTTTGACATAATATTATTGGTTGAAGCAATGAAAAGTAAGAAGTTAATGAAGAATAAAGAAAATCAGAATAATGATATCATTATTAAAGTCAGATTCCACTGAAACATTTTAATACAATTAGAATAACTGTGAAAATTAAAATGCTGTATAGAAAAAAGTGATGCCCTAATTTTTATGACAATTTATGGTTACAGATTGAGTGCTTTAAAGTTGGGGGAATAGTAGTATTAGAATATATAGTACTTTTCTGTAATACATTAATTTTATTTAGTCACTTATATTTATTAAAAGGGCAGATGATATTTTAAAATATCACATGATATTTTAAATAATTGTGGAGTTCTAAATCATTATAATTTAAGAAAATATTTTATATGGTGAAAAATGCTACATGACACTCTAAAGGTATCCAAAACTTACAAATAATAAAAGCAATAGAATGTTAAAGGATTTTTAAAAATACTAATTTTACAGAAGTAACTTACAATTTATTTAATGGTTAAGATATGAAACCATAAAATGATTAATAAATGTGTATATCATTTATGGAGGAACATTGTTGGTGCAAAATCCCTGAAAGATCCTAGTGGCTATCAAAGTCAGTGAAGGTGACTTTAGTGTGTAGGCAAATGTAATAAATCTGATAATTTATTCAATAATTCAGTCAATGGGCTCTGCAGTCAGTGAGATCTAGAATAAATTCTGGCTTTGAAATTTATAATGTATTACCTTTAAAAGTTATATAGTGTTTAACAACCTAGCTTACTAATCTAAGGTGGGAATAAAATATTTTAAGATACAATGCATGTAAAAATA